CAGTATATAGTTGTGTGGTTTTTTTTTACAACACACACATATGAGAAGAGAAGAGAATTCAGAGTTAACCAAGAACTGCGCAGGAAAGCAGTTACTAACAGGGGTGAGTAAATGCTGCCTTACAAATTCAAATGGTTTTGCATCTCCCATTCTCCCTTTTTCTTCTGGCTATGCTGATTAGAGCTGCTGGGAGCTGTAACATCTGGACCATCCAGTTGCCCATCCTGTCTTACAGTCTACCATGATCTGGTCTGCGAGAAGCAAATCATAACTCATCCTTCAGTGCTCCTCCAGATGCTACACAACCATTACACCCACATCTGCCTCCCTTCCCTTCCCTGACCCCTATCCACCCAGTGGGACACAAATTTCAATTTTTGTTCCTGAAAATGGTTCAAGGTGCTAAATATAACCTTCCAGCTTTGTTGGAAAGCAAACCAGAAGATGGGAAACATGATGCTTGTCACAATCTTATGAGCTGACGCTCACAGTTAAATAACAAAAAAATCTAAACAGGCCCCAGATTTAATCACATGGTATCAACATAATAAAATCCATTATGGGGCTGAGAAATAAGTGCTTGTGGTGGCAACTCTAGGTATACAGTATTTGAAAGAACACAAGGATAATGCAATTGAGTACGGATGCCAGAATGAAATCATGTGAGTGGACAGAGACTGTACGTATCAGCATGGCAGCATGAGAATGTCTTAGAATCAGTGGAAGAGTGATAGTCATAATGCAGCAGTGATCAGGGAGACTTGCAACAAAATGTTGCAGTGATGAGTGCTGAATACTCCTACCCATTGTTCCAGTCAGTTGGCCAGGCAGCAGCTCTCTTGGAAGACAGTGATGCTGAAACTTCGGTCCTCCAGATGTTTAGGATTTCAGCTCCCACAATCAACCTCTTACTGCTGACCAGTTTGTTTGAGACTTCCAAGAGATGAACTCTAAAACATCTGAAGTCCAAAGGTTGAGAACCACTCCTCTGGAATAGCTCGTTCTATTTTCCTTGGTATCTCATTTCTTGTTTTAATCCCCAACATTCAGTAAGCATTATGTGCCCAGTCCTCTTTACACACTCTCTCTCTTTCTCTCTCTCTGTGAGTATCTACATAGGAGAAGGAGAGTCAGGTTCCTCCTTCACAAAACTTATTTTCCTTTTACCTATTCAAATCTGGGTCTTCTTGAGCCTACTGATGACACTTTAGTCTTGAGGATGGGGGTAGTGCTATTTTGATCACTACTCTCTGAACACTAGAAATAGTGAGAATCACAGTATTTCTGCTCAGCTGTGCTACTTCCTGTCAAATGAATATGCCCATTCAAGAACCACCTTTGTCACACCTGCTTCATTGCAGGAGGCAGCATTATAAACATGAAGGGGAAATAGCAGGCAGAGCTGTGTATGGATCTTCTGAATCAGTCTGGAAACCTATTCAGGGCTTCAGAATGGTGCCCAGCTCAATCTGACGTAGTTTTTTATCCCATTTAATCTGAGCCTCAGATCCAAGTCAGTTTGTAAATTCAGCTTGGCAGCCTCTCATTGATTGAAAAAGCTAGAAAGCTGAAACAATTGCAGCATTTTTAGTTGAGAATTTATGCACACATATGAAATCTGGAGATATGATAAGACTCTAAAAACCTGCCACATTCCAGACAGCTAGTTTCTGTGGGCTGCATACTAGACATTTCAAATTTTATTTTTTCCCCATATGCATACACATACAGGCTGAAGCATTTTGTATACTATCTGATTCAGTCTGGATTCTGGATATGAAGTGATCTGTAAATTTACTTTAGGTTACTTGGGCACAACAATTAGCTACCCCACT